TTCCAAAGCTATATTAACGCGATTTCCGACTTATTCTTTTCAGAAGTAGCGACACTCTAATAAAAGGGATACGTCTCAAAATTTTGCAGTTAAATTTTTCAGCTGTATGCGTCTGTATGGCCTTTTAAATGAACATAATTTTTAGGTGGAAAAATACAAGTCAATAATAATTATTATCTCTGAGAGCGAAAAATAAAAATCAAATACTAATTAAATATTTTCCGTTGAGCGAATAAATAAAACTCAATATTAATTATAATTTTTAGTGAGAATATAAAAATCATAAATTAACGATTAAAGGTTGATCTAAGTTATTTTATTCATAGTGATTAGGGTTCCTGGTCACAACAATAAAAACACTTGAATCAGCTGATTTATCGATTCTGGCACGAAATGTGGTTTTTGCGTTTCTCACGCCATAGGCACTTCGGCATACATTTGTACTTTTGAGTGAGTAATATTTTTTTACTCTCAAATTACCGAACCCTGTCTGGGAAGCGTGAGGAACAAAGCAAGTGTGAACTGGCATGGAAATAATACGACTTAAATGGATTGAGGGTAAGAAAATTCATATAAAAAGTAAGCAGTGAGCCTTTGAACAATAATGCGTTGTAGGAGTGTGACAGCGGCGCATTATTTAGTTACAAAATATGTAAGAAGTATGAGTGCGAAAGCGGGAGATAACTACATATGTACATAATAGTGCTTAGGATTCCATGAACAATTTACGTATATATTTTTTCGTGCTATACATAAATACATAAGGTGTACTTAAATTCAACTTTAGATATAAACGGTGACACCGACAATCTGATACAATTGCTTGCCTGAACATAACGGTTAAAAGCTCTTCTAAGTATGGTGTATATACATATGTACATATGTTTAAGAAATATGGCTTTAGCTAGAGTTTGATGGTTTGATGGCAAATACCAGCATCAACTAAATTCCAGGTGATTTAATTACCTTTACTTTCAGTTTCCATTTATTTTTTATATATAAACGTGTTAATTTGCGTGACCGTGTGCTTGATTGTAACTTATATGTTCCGAGACCATTTATCCGATTGATTTTAAAATTGTTTAAGTTGTTTTGAGCCTGCTTGCGCGGTTTTATGAGTTGGTCTGAATCCGATTGACGGTGCTGGGGTCGATAAATCAGGAAAAATCGTTATCGTTTATGGTCCGCTTGGGTTTTCATATTCGTATACATAAAGCTTTACTCAAAAATAGACATTTTCCGGACAGATCCAAATGTTACAAACACATGTTACACAAAGCATATTAACTCAGAACTCCCCGTTTGTCAGAATTCTAAATACATTTTATCCATACAGAGAAAGGAAAAATAAATACAACAGAATCTTGGTCAAGCCTTTGCCAGAAGGTAAATATGCGGTCTGTCAACATTTTTTGGTATACATATATAAAAAATTACAAAATTTAAAAATTTTGAATTAATACGCTTTTAAATACTGTGCGCGATATTTAGGTAGATTAGATAGATCTAAGCTGTTCAGGTATTCATCAGACTCAGATTTATACTTTGTATAAATAACTTTAATGACATCTGAAAAATAATTTACTTGCACATATTGAAAGAAAGTTAGTGATTAGTATTCCCGTGGTTGGTCACGTTGGGATATAGGAGAAAAATTCCAATTAAATACTATAAAAAGAAAATTTGATACAAATTTTGGCAACCGGTATAATTTCTTTGGCACAACTATTTCCTACCACCCAGCAGCAAAGTTCACTAATGATGTAAACTAATCTTCCTAAAAGTATGCCTCCTTTTGGTATCATAAATGAATGACTACTTTGTACATAGTTTGTTAAATACATATCCACATCAATGCGTAATGTACTTACACTATCAGCAAATTAAAGTGCACACCTTGTTCTAATATACTATATTATTTACAATTATTTATGAAAATATAGTTCATTATATAATATAAACCATATAAATCAAAGTTTCACACCTTATGTAAAGTTCACAAAAATTCCAAAAATTTTCAACTATTTATACAAAAATTCGAGTATTTATGCAGCTTTGTAGCCCATTAAATTTTAGTGAAATAAAGTGCACGTTTCAAGTCGCTTAAAGTTACCGTTGATTTTTTAGAAATTTTTTTTGTCGCCTTTGCCTCCATATAACGAATAAAAACAATTCTTTTTTATATGGAAGAAACCAGCAACACCCTCCGCAAAAAAATTGAGTGTGTTAACGAACTGCATGCTTGAAAATTTTCTAGAAATTCTTAATAAATTTTATTTTTTTTGAATTTTTTTAAACTTTATATAGAGTGTGAAACATTGATTTTTTGTGGTTTATATTATAGCAGTGCGCGCTTCCACTCCGCAGGGTCTGGGTTCAAGCCCGGTTTAACCCAACATCAAAAACTAGGTTTTTTTTTTTTAACGGCGGTCGCCCTTCGGCAGGCAATGGCAAACCTACGAGTGTATTTCTGCAATGAAAAACAGAGCTTCTCATAAGTATACAATCGCCGTTCGGAGCCGGCGTAAAACTGCAGGTGCCTCCGCTTTGTGTGACAACATCAAGGCGCACGCCACAAATCGGAGGAGAAGCTCGGCCAATCACTACATACATATCGAGCCCTAACCGCCAAAATAACGTAAACGCCATTTTTTTTCAAAATTTTCCTTTCGATGCAGAAATACATCTAGATGCTCGAGGAATATTTCTGCATCAAAAATAAAAGATTGAAAAAAAATGTCGCTTACGTTATTGTTGATGAAAATAATTGTGAATATTATATTAGAACAAGGTGTGCACTTAAATTTGTCTGATAGTGTACATATGTATGTCTGTACGTATTTGTTTACAAACACGCGCATATAGTGACCAAAATATTTTGACAGGCATTGGTTGGCATTTAGCCCGTTTGCATTTAATACATATGTACATATGTATGTACATAAGTGAAATGACTGGCGTGCTGTTTTGGACTCGGCCAAAATCGCTTAGGTGGTTACAGTGCCAATAAAGAAGAAGAAGATGTACATAAGTGCATATAGTTATATTAGCTTTTAACAATAAAAATTAGGTTCTTACTCACCTTCTTTTCATTGTTGCTCGGTGATTCTGGCGTGCGTGGTGCCTTCTTTGGCAGTGTTCCATTACTTATCACAGTTAATGCTGTTGGCCTCTGCGCTTTTTCAGGCACAAATTTGAACTCATAAAGGTCGTTGCCTCCCCAGCTGGCAAGGCAATTCTTTTTGTCCACGTACTGAGTAATATCCTTTTTCGATATCATTTTGAGAATTTCCAGCGCTTTGGCTGGTAGGAAACCCTTTATGATTTTAAACGCAGCTGTGACGAAGAAATTAAAATTTTTCAATTCGAAATATAAAAAGGAATTAACTTACCATTCAGCATCCAAGCCATTTCGAAAACGAGTATATAATTTAATGTATTCGGATAGTACATTTTGAATGTTTCAATAATTCGCTTAACAAAGTCCAGATCCATGCCGGACACACCGGTGCCGGCCATATCGAAGAAAATCGTCATTTTATCCATATTCGTTTCGCGATGTATGCGTTCGATCCAATAGACCACAACGCGTATTACTTCATCCATGTCCTTTGTGCCCTTCACATGCAGCTTTGTGCGAAAGATGAGCAATGTCTTGCCATCCACATCTTTGTTGTGCGCAAATACGACGCCATCGTGCAGATATTCCTTAACCAAATTATTTTCATTTAAATCGTAAGCTCCATACTCCTGCCGCCATATACAAGTTTCCCATAGTTTATTTAAGGCGACTTGCATTTCCAAATCGTACATTTCAAGAAAGCGTCTTAGCCAAATACTGTCTGCATTGCGAATTCGATCGAGATCGTTCCAATGGAAAGGCACTGAAATGAAAAGAAGAATGGTACCTATAGTATTATTATCATTATGAGCTTTAAGCACTGGGACCTCTAAGGTGGTAAATTGTGCGAGAAATGGAATAGTAGAATAGGGATTAACTTGTTGTTAAACAAATGTGTGCACTAGGGTGGTGCATGCGAAAAAGTAAAGCCGGTATTTTTAAGCTCTCACCCCCTAGGATTGTTCTATACCGAAACAAAATATATCGATTTTTTTATTTTGTTTTGAAATCAAAATATATTTAGAGGTCGCTCAAAGCGCCTAAACTTTTCCATGTATTTTCGTAGAAATTGTATAGAATAGTTAAAAATCAAAATTTTTTTACCAGAAAACTCTGTTTATCTGCAGGAGATTCCCAACAATAATACCCAAGTGTTTATTTAACCAGTTTTTCATCGCAACTATAATTTATAGGTCCGCCAAAAATCCATAAAAACCCCAAAAAATGCATTGGGCGGACCAATAAAAAATCGTTAGTATTAAAAACTAGTCGAATAAGCAGTTGGTTGTTATTATTGAAAGTCTCTTGAAGAGAACCAGAGTTTTCCGATCGAAAAATATTGATTTTCAAGAGCTCTTTACCATTTCTACAAAAAGTTGTTTATTTCCCATATAAAAATACAAGGAAAACTTTAAGCTCTTTGAGTGACCTCTAAATATTTTTTGATTGCAAAATAAAAAAATATGGGTATACTTTAGCATACAATTCCGACTTTACTGTTTTTTTACCACCTTAGTGTGCACATATTTTATGTTAGGGATATTCGCTAAGTCTTGCTTAACCCTTGCACTGCGCAATGAAGAAAAAGCGAAGTGGTTGGTTTAAAGTACACAACCTATCACGCAAAAATCCATCAAAACAACATTTCACGTGCATAAAATCAAAATGATATTACGGTTTAATGGCACACCCGTGAATTTAAAAGCATAAGTCGATTTACACTTAAAAATAATTGAAAACATAGACGTGTATTCAACGCGTGACCGATGTAAAATGTGTTAGAGATCAGTCGAACGTTTAGAGGGTCAGACGATTTTTTCATAAATTAGTTGTATTTAACTTTTGTGTATTGTTTATTAGAGGTTTACGCCGCCGAGCCACGTCACCGCCGCCGCCGCCGCCGCCGAGTTACGAAAATATCGGAGCGCCGTCGGCGCCTAAGGAATTTTGTACGTAATTTTCATGATGTACATATGCGCATTGAAATAAATCGTTTGAAGGAACTAAACTCGTATAAATAGCGCTATTTTACGAAATGAAAAATACTTTTTTAAATTAATTTTTTTTTTAACTAATTTGGACCACTGCATTGGAATATGAACTCCTTTATGTTTCTAAAAAAAAAGCGAAACTCAGAAAAAACATAGGAAAGCGTTTATTACAGTTAAACACTTGTAACCCGACGATTTTTTCCGCAGTAGTCAAACATTTTTTTTCAATACTACAACAGAAGGTTGCATTTTTCGATAGAAACGAAATCGGCATTAGAAAGTAGTTTTAACAGAAGCGCCCTTATTGCATCTAACTCCTCAATTATTGGAGATAAAACAAAAACAAAGTTTATTTTCTTGTGTATTTTTTTCTTTAATAAAGAGTTGAATATTTTTTTAACAGATTTTTAATAAAAAGCAAAACCTTTGTTTGCTAATATTTACAATCGTCAGTTATTTTATTCTGGGGTCTCACAGACGTTAGCATTCATAAGTGTTGGCCAAAACCTAGGAAGGTTTTGCTCCATCGCATCGCAATGTTTCCCCCTTTTTGGTGAAAATTTGTATTATTTTCCATTACATTCGGTTATCCTAAGAAAAATTTGACGTTTAATATTTTAGAGAAATTTTAACCATCTATAAGCCATTTTTTAGGCAGTGGGTCAAAAAGGCCCGATCTGGTGGGAGTTGATGGGTTAAAATGTTGGTAAAAAGTAGACGAATCTAGTTTTCAATCTACAACCCGCAAAAGATCGTAAGAACTACGTAACTTAACATAACGGTAGATAAGATTATTACAAAAATGTATTAATAGCGGCATAAATTACTCCAATAACTTAATTTTTTTATTTCTTAAAATTTAAATAGTACATACGGATCTGTTCTCTTGTTCGCCCATCCATCATTCAAGTAGGAAGTAAAAATATTTAATTTTAAAACTAATTCAGGAATGATTTGAATAGAGTTAAAATCTGAATTGGCATGGCGAATGGCTAACGCTGACAAGATGACAGGATAAGATTAGTAGCCTCATGGCTCTTTGGAATCTACCTTGTGGGCGTCGCCGCCGCCGCCGCCGATTATCTTTGTATTTGACCACGCCGCCGCCGTTAAGCCTGTCGGCGTGAACCTCTAGCGTATATACATATGTATGTACATATATAAATGATGATATAAATACATTTGTGTATAAGTATGTCAACATTAGGAACGCCGCGACCAATGACTGGTAATTTATTTCAAATGAATCAATATACATATGTATGTATGTATGTAGTTACGAGCACATTTATGTACATACATTCTTATTTAGACTTTTTTAACCTTAAATTTTAATAGAAGTCTCAGTTGGGGTTAAAAAAAGCTATGCACATACACACATGCGTATGTATTACATACATATAGAGTTTTGTAGAAAAGCCAAATGATTGCATACTAACTAAATTGGTTTTATTGCTTCTATATTCTTCAGTGATGAAGTCCAGCTAACTTTTTGTGAATTCAAAATTGAATTAGTGAGGAGTGTAGAAATATGGCCCTCAAGTACAACGAATTATCAAAATGCTTTTTTTTTTATCTACCAGGTGTTTTCTTACGAAGGTGTGTCTGTATGAATGTATATTTTTATAATATGTATGTATGTATGTACATAATGTAGTGTGTCTACACTACGTATGTACATATGTAGATATGTGTACTAGAGTTTACTCAATATGTTTAGTCAAAAACTTAAAACACGATTGAAAACTTACGCCCACAAACGAACTTTGGCCGTAGATTGATTTTTTTGTTTTTTAATGTGTAATGTTAATTTTTCGAATAATTTGCTTACCTGGCAAGCAACTGAAATTAAACTTAGTCAGTATCAGCTGTTTCAACTACAATCAGCTGCAGACTGCCGCACTGTGGTGTTAGCCAGTGATTTCAAATGGTTTATTTATGTATAGGAAAAAAAATTGGTAGCTGGATCATTGCACAGTTTCACGAAAGAAATTTCAGTTAAAAATGATTTTTCTTTTGTCAAATTTAATATGAAAACTGAAAGTCTTTGATCGATTATATTAAGCTGCATAGTGGACAAATACATATGAGTAGTTGCACTTGGGTGATTTTATAATAGAACGCCATAAATTTGAAAAAACGACTACGACAACAAGTAACATTTAAATTGAATCTTTTTTATTATTACCTGAAAATTTGGATAAATAAGAGCCCTATTAAATTGTAACATAACACAACATGACATAAGATTATATTAACAGTTTATACGACTTAAAGCCGTTTTCTAAGTTCATCAGAAGATGTATACTTTTGAAAGATTATAAATAAGTATGATAGCGACTTTTGGAAGAAGAGTTAACATTTGATGCTATTTTTTTCAGAATATAAAAAGATTTTGCACTGTGGTGTTAGTGGACATGAAACTACTTTAAATACTGGTACGTAATCCACCAAAAACTAAAAATCTAAAAAATGCACATTCGATTAGCTCAACTCCATGAGGACCAAGTGAAACATGCTTCCACAAAAGAAAAAAACTACCCATAAGGAAATTATCAGAACATTTTAGAATTTGTAGTTTCTTTAGTTTTTACTTTTTCTTAGAGACTGTAAATGAAGGTTGTGTACTTTTCGATTTTCAAAGCTAAAAGACATAGTAAAATATTACTGCGCTGCTTTTTCAAAGAAACTGTAAGAGTCCCCTCTCATCATAGAATATGACTTCCTCGTGATTTAAAAAAATTTATTTATAAGACAAAAATAAAAAAAATTTGGTTCTTTTAATTGATTTAGAGCTTTATGCTCGCTATTTTCCGGAAAAGTCTTATACTAGTCCCGACGAGTCAACGAGCAATGTTGCTAGAACGGTTTACGTATCGTAATTTTGCTCATACCGGGAGGAAAGATGTTTAAATATCAAAATTATTAGGCAAATTTTGCTTCAGGGACATAAAAACCTATCGAGTCCCTTGTTCAAAGTATTATTGCTTAGTTTTGCTTGCTTTTTATTAAAAAATATGTGTACTATGTGTCTCTCGTAAAAAACAGAGAAAAACATTTTTATTACTAAAAATTAAAATTAGTTTAAATCAAAATAGGTATGCTTATTATATTTATATGTACATACATGTATACCTCTATATTGCTAGTATATATGTTCAAAGTACACAATAACATTGAAATCAGTAAATCTTTGCAATTTTGATACTTAGGCAGTTTGGTAGTTGGCAAAACCTAAAAATATGCCAGCCAATTTTGCAAGCTTTCCACATTTTTCCTCTTCTTTTCACTTTGACGCAGCGGTACTTTTACAAAAGCCGAATATACTTTAAACCTCCAAACTCTTATATTTTTTTTTTTGAAAAATTATAAAAATTATCAAAATTGGAATCACATTTCACGCTTATATTTCTGCAGCACCAGACCACTGTGCAGTTAAATAGCGCGACATTTTTCTACATTACGCACGTGTATGTATGCTTGTTTGTACATACATATGTACATTTATAGCAGGTAATTACTTAGTAGCAGTAAATTTTTATTTTGTGAAATGACACAAACAAGTAGCTGTATAGAAATAAATGAACTTGAACTTCGATTTCAATAAATACGATTTTACGAAGTTTTAAATTTTTTATAATGCTTTTAAAGACTTTCGAAACGGTTGACAACTTTGAGTAGATTAACAAAACAAAAACATTTGCCGAAAACTATTAAGACTAGTTTTTAGGTAGTAAATTATAAAACTAATAATAATAACATTCATGACACATTTAAGAGGTCATTCTTGGATTAAATACGCATATGAATGTGTAGAAGTATGTATGTATGTATGTCGCGCGGATAAATAAATGTCGTATGTGAAAATTGGGCCAAATTGGGTCAAATTGAGCTAATAATGCAGTCATATTAAATTAATCAAGATCTTTCAGATGGCGTTACCCGTTTTGGATGTCTCTTTTAGTTTCCGAGATATTGAGTGAAATTTAAAAAAAATGTTATCACATTTTGTCGTGTCATACGAAATTCCTGCAAAATTTTTGCCAAATGCAAGGCGTGCCATACAATATGTATTGTCATATTAATTTTTTTAAATCACTTAAAATTCATTTACAACAAAAGCACTCAATTCTTTATGATTTATTGTTATATTGTTTCTTTTATGTCGTAACACAATCAAAGGCCAACAATGTTGTACAATTAAAAATCAACGGATTTACTGAACTTGAATGCAATTCGTATCTACTTAATGTGAAACGTTCAATTTCCTGGATACCACATTCATACCTCCATTCACTTTTCACAAGGCGCACTACTCATGAAATTCTATCATAATTAACTTTGCATTTACTAACTAGCGACACTGTTGTTGTTGTTGCTGTTGCTGTTGCTTACCTTCTGGTGGGTTTTGTTCATATTTTTTGTTGAATAAATTTCGCAGTTCATCAATTTGTGTTTGCGTGGGTGTTTGTACTTTGGCTGGCATTTTTGATTAAGTTTGTTTTATTTATCTATGTATTTGTCATAAAACTAAAATTTTCAAAATAAAAAATTCAATTGACATACATAGTTTATTCGATTAGCGGTTGAAACGCGTTTAGTTTCGTTGAATTACTCTAAAACGCTTACAAAAATTTCACTGCACTTCCGCTTTACGGATCCGTACCGCTGCAACGCCAAAAATGTACTGGGGGCTTGTAGCGCACCGCCTATACTAATAACATTCGTCCGCAATCTAATGGAATTCTCAATTCCACTATGTATTAAATTGCATGAAATGTTTACAGTGAAAATGTCTCATATTTATGCCTTATTTATTTGTATGTTGAATAGAGTAAATAAATTCGAACTATGTACAACCGAAACCATTGCGATGCGCTCAACTGTTCGACTTTAGACGATGGCCAGAGCACTGGTGTGCACTTATCAACAAAGCGCGCCAATAGCGCTGAAATCTAATCTAATAAAGATTAACGAAGAAACATGTGTAGCCATGTGTAGTTCATTTACATACATACACACATATTTTGTGGGTACTTTTTTTTTTTTTTGTTACTGTTCGAATACAAAAAAGAGACCACGATTTGTTAAGATCACGCGGCTTAATATCTATTATTGCAATGATTTGCACGCACGATCGCGCGCCGGACTCGCGCAAGAACTGAACTGACAAATTCGCTTTTGATTAATGCAATGCAAATGCGTTCGATTCAAATGAGCTCAATAAAATACACTGCACATAATACGGGCGGGCATACGATATGCTATCGTCAAAGAAGTAGAAACAGAAGCCAAAGCCAAAATCAAAATCAAAATCGATTGCGGCGAGGTCGCCGACATCGGCAACGGCAGACGCGTCGCGCTGCGCCATCACAGTAATCAATAAATAACCAAAGGCTGAATTAAAAATCGAAAAGGCAACGACGCATTAAACAAACACCAAAAAATGGTAAAACAATGCGCATCGACAGACGACCTACAAAAAAAATCTATGCTAAATATATACATACATACATATAGATACAATGTATGTCATACATACAAACATATGTATATACATACATACAAATATGCATATGAAGACATTGGCGACGCTTTGAAAATAGATCAAACGGCAAAATGAGTAAAACATGTTTTGAATTTTCAATTAAAATCGGTATATCGACTCGCTTCCGAGCGTTGAGCACACTTTCCGGTTGACTATCTGTATATGTAGGAGTACTTAAGTTATGCATGACTGAGCGCCATTCGCTTCCACTGAGACGAGTTCTTTCCGCGCTCGATCGCGCTTGCTCTCCCACGTAGGGATGTCGGAAAAATATCGTTGTATAAATAGTCGATGTATCGTTGCATTGATGTTCTTTGAAAACTGACATCTCTAGCACATTAAACCGCCGTTTCAGTTTCTCTGTTATGCAAAAAAGAGGAGTTTGACTGAAATATTGAAATCACTGCAAAAAGTTCCATGAGCAACATAATTAGCTCAGTTACAGTTAGTAATTTGAAAATGTGTGAGAAATTTTTTTTAAGTCATCGATAACTATTATCTTAAGACTTCAAAAATTTGTTTAAGTCTTAAAAGACGGGGCTTGGTCAGGACCATTTCGGGATTAGTTTGTGGCAATTTCGGGACTAGTTGGGGACAAGTTCGGGAACAGTTTAAAACTTGTTGCGGAGTAGTTTAGGACAGGTTAGGGCCTATATTAAGTATGTATATATAGTCCTGAACTGGTCCGAACTGATCCCAAACTACTCCCCAACTAGGTCCGAGCTGGCCCCTAACTAGCCCCGTCTTTTAAGCGTTACAAAATTTTTTCGCACTCATAATTATTATGAATAGACTTTTATAATATACATAAGTCTAAAAATAAAAGTCTTTGAAGACTTAAAAATATTTATCTCACTGATAATTATAATGAAAAGACTTTTATTATATAAGTCTTAAAGCAATAGTTGTGGATGACTTAAAAAAATTTTCACACACATAATTATTATGAAAGAACTGTTATAATATAAGTCCTTGATCAATAATTATAGATGACTCGAAAAATATTTATCTTAATATAATAATTATTGATTGACTTTTAGTTTTTTCTCTTATAATAGTTATGTCTCTGGTTAGTAGAGCTTACTGTTGCGGTGGCTATTGCGCGGTTGAGCTTTCGCGAATAATTATATATACTCTCTCTACTGAAAAAACCAACAACGGTTTTGTTAAGGGGCAATCACCTAATCGCCAGTTATTGAAGCATTCTAGAAACTCGATAACACTGAGCGCCCAATGGCTACCCGCATTGCTGCAGCTTTCAATGCATTCAGGTGGTCGGCACGTTCATTCGCTCACCGTTTGCTGTAGTAGTCACAGAGCGCATTTTTACTAAACAGTAACGTGTTTATGGTTGTATGAAGTTCGGCGCGAAGGTAAATTTTGTATTTATTTGCTATGACAGCCGCTGGTTGGGTTTGTTTACATTTCTAATGATATGCAATCAAAGCAATAACTTACTATAGAGTATTGAATACATATTTACATTTTGAGTGACTTCCCTATTAAATGATCATTTGATCACCATAACTAAATGATATTAGATAATGATTTGATCTCAACCAAGGTCAGGTATACAAAGATACAAAGTAGCGAACATGTAAGTTAACGCCTTCGGCAACAAACAAAGCAAACAGCATTTGAGGCGTAAAGAAACGAAAGGTGAGATGGTTAAAAATGTCACTGTCAAATATTTTAAATATTTGGGTAAAAAATATTGATAATTAATACGGAAATACTTTCATATGTATGTACATAAAGGCTCGAGCAGAAGAGGATTTGATTGTAGAAAGAAAATAGTTTTCTAGAAGCTGACGCCTTCAATTTAGAGGGAAGTTAATAAAATTTCTTCTTCCTCTTATTTGGCGCTGTAACCGCCTAAACGGTTATAAGCAAAAAGTGTTATAAGTAGGAAGCTTTTATGCCGTAATGCCCTTTTTTATGGAATAGTGTTTCTGATTATGACTTTTTCCGGCGAAAGTGGAAGTTTGAAAGGTTAGAAAATTTTCGAAACCAAGCGACTTTGAAAAAAAGTTAAAGACATTATAAATGTGGGACTATAAGAACTATGAAATCCTGAAAAGATATTAATAAGAGTAATTTATATATAATTTCTTGTAAAAACTCAGAGACTTTCTCAAATTAAAGCCGGAGATTATCCATCCACGATGATGCTACACTGAAAAAATCCTTCGACTACGCATTCATAGCTGTACAACGATAGCAACAGAGTCGACTGACTGAAACAATTGATTAGGAATATCTGGCAAAACTACGAAAAGTAGAATAGAAGTATATGCATATGTATATATGTAAGTGATACTTTTCAATCCCGGCCCAAAATGAAAATTAATAAATAAATGTTGATACTTTGGGGGTAGTTAAAAGTTGTCTCTTTAATCGAATCGCAGAAGCAGCAGAGAGTGCCATAAAAGAATGAGTGCAGTTGGAATCCTTTTAAACTATACCCACCCAGTAACCTCTTGGCGTAGTTCACTTGAGCACCCCTGGTGCTGTGCTCTGCTTAATATTCTTTAATTTTTGGGCTTTATATATGAACCCATTGCCAGGAAGTGCCCAGGGCCAATTGGGGCTGGCTACCAGTGAGGATTTTGATAGTTCCTGTTAATTTTTATTTCCGCATACATACTGATGGTTTTAACTTGAAATGTGCTCGGATACCTTCAAATTGTCATCGATGTCCTAGCTCTGATACTACAGACACCCGATCCAGTGCCCTCAGAAATTTTCTAGCCCTCTTTGTATCTGTAGATGCCTTTCAAAATTGCGCTGTAGACTGCGATTCTATACTGAATGTCTTCTCGCCACCTGCTCTATGATTAAGTGTAGATACCCAAGCGCTAACCTCAGGCAAAATACCCCTTTTCTGGGTGCCAATAGAGCATTTCTTTTGACCTTCAGAATTCGCTGGTATGCTTCCAATATGAATCGCCGCGCTAACTTCTATTTATTTTGGCTCATAATTCTTGCAGATGGTCGTTCAATATTCTTGTTTTTCTTCTTAGGGTACAGATAAACATATATTATTGACCATTCAGTAATATGAGGTTAGCTGGGCTGATCCCTGAGGTCTCACATAGACCACTAGTCGGTTTTTTAGTGTTACTAATTTACTTAAACCTTATTAACAATTTGCTGGTGCTTTGGTCTGCAATATTCTGCAGTCAGAAAGAGAAAGCAGACCCTCCTACGATCTTCCAAAAAGCATGGTGTGCTTTAAGAGTAACCTCAGACAGAGTTGCACTCTAAAAAAAATTTTTGTAGATTTCCTAGCTAAAAGGTAGATTACTGATTTCCTACCTTATTATTCGCGAAATTACATGCTCGATTTTTCAAAGAATAGTTTGTTTAAATTTCCGACTTTTTAGAGTGTAATATAGCTGCTGTGGTGTGCGTAAATTTACTACGAAAGTGTGTAAAAGCTACAAAATACACATCTGCTGTTTGATTTCACCCGTAGCATTGTGTAAAGCCGCTAACAAAAAGTATTTTTACACACGAAAATGTGTAAACGAGAAAAATACATATTTATCGTGTAAATTTACCAAAAAATTTTAAAAATAAACAAAAATATACTCGATTTATAGTCGCATTTTTAAACAGATTTTTTAGAGTGTGTGTCAGTCCTAACTAGAACGCACGATATGATGTGAGACATTTTTCCGTAAATAATCCATGCTTGAATGTTTTCGAATTTAGTTGGCGTTTTAGTCACTGAGCACCAATAAATACAAATAAATATTTTCGTCTTATTCCATTTAAAAAATAAGCTTAAATTTTTCTCGCTAAAAGCTGCATGGCACTGAAAAGCTATGCAAGCACAAAAGCTAAGCATTTTCCGACCATATGTTTTCCCACAAATTTCACTTTTCATTCAAATGCGTGTGTGTGTGTGTGTGTGTGTGCCTGTGTGTCAAAGTGTATTCGTATTGACTGTGCCCGTGAAAATGCTGCCAGTGAAAAAACGAGTGCTGTTCAATTATTTAGTGAAATTAAAGTGAAATAATATAAATCGCGCATTAAAATGAAATTTGCCGAACACTTGAGCGCACATATAACACCGGAATGGCGAAAACAATACATAAACTACGAGGTATGAGCCGCATTTCGGAGGATGAATCTTATTTGCGTTTTCGGATGTTGGTCAGTGTAAAGTGAAAATATTGTAGATACTGGTACAGCTGGTGGGCGGTCGATGACAGCTGCTGTCAATGGGGTGGGTGACGTCATGAAAGCTCAGAAGGTAGTTGTCAAAGTGACGAGCTTATATTTTGGCGCAAAAAAGTGTTTGGTGTGCTGCGCATGACCACAAAGAGACACGTGTTGCAGAGTGTTTAGAAGATGGAGATGTAAACAGAGTGAAAATCACATGTTTTTGGCAAATTTGTTTACAAACAATGCATGTAAACAAGGCGAGCTTTTGCAAGTAGCCGGGGAGGGGTAGGAGCTTAGTGTTACACTTTCACTGAGTGCTTATGTACTTAAGACATATATGTATATAGATACTCACAAACCCAGATTATCATTGTGTCTACATCAGTGGCCGATTTGCTGGTTTGCAAAGCAATTTTACGCTGCGAGAAAATTAGAAACACTCATGTGCTATGTTAAAGCAACGCTTCTTTCTATTCTTATAAACTTTCTCTTTTAATTTCAAATTTTTTTTATGCGCACTTACTTTCACCGCAAACAACAGGAAATGAAGGCTATGCTTTATGCGGCCGTGGAGCAGGCTCCCTCCGCAGAGCTCGTCGATCCGGAGGTGCTGTCGCGTTACTTTGCTAAATTCGATGAGCAATTTTTCCATTACTGCGACAAAGAGTTGGCCAAAATAAATACCTTCTATTCAGAGAAAATGGCGGAGGCTACACGCAAATATGGCAATCTCCGTAGTGAGCTTAGCGAGACGCTCGAGATGGGCACTGTGAAGAAGCAACCGGCTTGGAAGTCCAAGACGCCCTTGGGCAAGAAGAATGTACCTGCGCGCAAGATACAGGATCTCAAATTGGCATTTAGTGAATTTTATTTGGGTTTGATTTTGTTACAAAACTACCAGAATTTGAATTTCACGGGCTTTCGCAAGATACTCAAGAAGCACGATAAGCTCTTGAATGTGAGCGATGGTGTCAGGTGGCGTGAGGAGTATGTGGAGGCGGCGCATTTCTATGTCAATAAGGACATCGATCGGCTCATACAGGAAACGGAGCGCGCCTTCACCAACGACATTGAGGGCGGCGATCGACAGAAGGCAATGAAGCGCTTACGTGTGCCGCCGCTGGGTGAGCAGCAAAGTCCATGGACCACCTTCAAGGTGGGCCTCTTCTCAGGCGCTTTTGTTGTGCTCTTTCTCACCGTTGTACTGTCGGCCATATTTCATGGCTTCGGCAAGGATTGGCGCGTCGGTTTGCGTATGTTTCGCGGCCCCTTTCTCATCATCGAATTCCTGTTTCTGTGGGGTGTCAATGTCTATGGCTGGCGTTCGTCGGGCGTAAATCATGTACTCATCTTCGAGCTGGATCCGCGCAATCATCTCTCTGAGCAGAATATCATGGAAGTGGCCTCAGTGTTTGGCGTTATTTGGGCCATTTGTGTGCTGTGCTACATTTACTGTGATCCACTAGGCATACCGCAGTATTCGGCACCCATTTTCCTCTACACACTAATGATTGCATTTCTGCTCAACCCGACGAAGACGTTTCACCATGAGGCGCGCTATTGGGCGGTGCGCGTGCTTAGTCGAGTTGTCATGGCGCCATTTTTCTTCGTGACCTTCGCGGATTTTTGGCTCGCCGATCAGCTTAACAGTCTTGTGCCGGCCTTTCTTGACATACCCTTCGTTATTTGCTTTTTTGGTGAGAATCCCAACTGGCACAGGACGGGTAACGGTAAGTTTGCCGCATTTATTTAAACTTCTTCTTATTGGGATTCGTCTAATTATAACAAAATTTGTTTTTGTAACAACAGATGGCACTACTTGTGTTAGGGACATCTCCATGGTGCGTCCGGTTGTCGCTATTTTGCCGGCCTATTGGCGATTCGCTCAGTGTATTCGTCGCTATCGTGACACGCGTGAAGCTTTTCCGCATCTGGTGAATGCTGCCAAGTACGCAACATCGTTTTTTGTTGTAATATTCTCCTACAAGTTCCAAACAACCGCAGGTAAGTGGGAGGGCTGCTGCTTTAAGTGGCTGATGGTATCAAATGTCAAATGCTTGGGAATAAGTTGTGGGAAGACATTTTCGATATCCATCTTCTTTGAACACTTTAAAGTTATTATTAACTTGTTTAAGTATCTACTTATGCTCGCAATTAAATGAATGCTTTCAGATTTGTGCACGCAATTAAATTATTTGAGAGACAAATATTTAAATTTAACTTTTACGTCTCTCACTTAAAGCGCAAAAACTATTTAAGCGAATACTTCTCTACTTTTTTTGTTGCGGTAAAGTTCGGTAAGGCACACTTGCAGTGTTGCCAGAACTTTTTGGGCCGACCGGCTAAATTGGCCAAAAAAACTGCTAAGACGGGTTAAAATTTCCGAATTGAAACTTAGTTGCGCAAATTGGTAATTTCAATCATTTATAGTTTAGAAATAAAAGAGGCTGATGCTTTGCAATATACCAACTTGGAACTCAGCCTTTTGCTTCACATGAAAATTCGTGCCCTTACGTTCATAAAAAAAAAAAAAATACAGTGACCCAAATATAAACTGGGACGCGACATTTTAACAAGGTTTGGCTACTTTTCTTAAGTTTTTTAATGTTTATTATTTTTCATGAATTTTTTGCACAATTTCAACAAAATTTTTTAACTTTTTAGTCAGCATCTTTAGAAAATATTATGGTATGCAGCTTTGTAGTCTATTAAATTCTAGTTTATTGAGGTGCAAATTTGAACTAGCGAGATCTTACTGGTGATTTTTGGCATTTTTTTTAATGACGGTGTTACGATTTTTTTTTTTCCATACAAACTATGTTCAACAAGTCTTTTTATATGTATACAATGCCAAACACCGTCAACAAAAAAATTCCAAAAAATCGGTGGTAACTGCTAGGTACTTTAAATTTTTTACTTTATTATACTAAAACTTTACATTTCTAAAGATTTAATCAGCATCTTAAGTTAAAAATTTTGGTGAAAAATTGCAGAAAATTAATAAAAAATAAACACTAAAAAACTAAAGAAAAATAGCCAAAACTTGTTTTGGTGAAAATTTTCATAATTTCATATATTTTCATAAAAAAGAACAAACATTAAATGTCGCGTCCCAGTTTAAATTTGGCCACTGTCTATGTGCTTAAAATAAAAATCATTGAAATCGGCCCAGTATTTGAAGACTTTTCGGATTAGAAAAAATTCTATTTAAATTGCATATATGTAACACAGTTCGACATGAGAAATTTCCCCGAGATAAAGCTACCCATTTCTAATAGATTTCGGGTCTCTAAATTCGTAAAAATGGAAACTTATATATACAAATCTTAAGAAAATATTGCAAATAGGAAAATCGGCTAAAACCGTCAAATTTTTTTTGGGCAAAGCGGCTAACAAATCGGATGCCGGCTAAACCGAATTTTCTCCGGCTGTTCGCTTTCGCAACCGGCTAAATCTAGCCGGAAAACGGCTAAAATGGCAACACTGCACACTTGAAACTTTTGCGGACAACACAATTCCGACATACCGAAAAAGCTTACAAGAAACAAAGACATACATATCGTCGTTTAAAGTACAAAACCACGTATCGTCGATCTGCAAAACCGCGCAACTGACATTTTTTGCCAAAAATTGGCACGCGCCCGGAAATATACTAGCCAGAAATGCGACTGCTTTATAAAAAAAAGAGAACCATTTTGATATATGAGTTTTATTACCCTCTACAAAATAATTTATGCAACCTCACATACGCGGTTTTGTACTTTAAACGACGATATGTATATCTGCAATATAAATATGAAATAAGGCGCGTATTCCTGACAGAGTTTTTATATTCTCTCTCGGGTATTAAAGTCGAAACGAACCTTATATGCGCGTATACTACTAGCGCAAATAAATTTATTTCAGCATTTAGCTGTTGACAGTTGGGAATTATTAAGCCTGCCAAAGTTTAAGCAGCGCTTATATAAATATTTTTCACGAGCATTTTGTGGCTTCAAAAGTACGAACAGCGGTAAATGGTTAGATATATAAAAATATGTGTTTGAAAACGCTGTTGGCAAGAAGATTTAGAATTAATTATGATTTCTAGGTTCGTTACAGCGAAGTACCCTTGAAATTGGCACGATAAACAACTAATTAAAATGGTTAGCAAAATAAATATATACATACATACATACTTAATGCAAAAAACTGCCTGACATTGATAATAAAACACCATTTGTAATGAAGAAAGAAAATAAATGCAAATGATTTCCCCCAGAATAAATAGGCTGAACGTTGGCTTGGCAGGGCGAACACCTGTAAGAATAACCATGGCGACTTATACTAGGTTTACATATACAAAAGTAGATTATCCTCATTTTCGAGCTTAACTCCCTAATCTCTAATTAGTAAAAGAGGTTGGCGTCTCTTGTTTATCTGTAATTATAAACCGGTGTACAGCCTAGTTTTATCGATTATTTTTGCGAAGAAGAGGAGGAATGCCAAATGTAAAAGGCAAGGAAAAGAGGTCTGTAAAGGTATTTTTAATAAAATACTAAGTTAAAATATATTTGAATTGTTTAATATAGCAGAACAAAGTGATCACGGTGGTACAGAGAAGAAAGATAACATTTCCTTGAGATGTGAGAATAACAAGCACAATAAATTTGACGGCTAATAATCTGAGATTTGCCTGTATAAATAGGGTGATTGAAAAACGAGCTTTGATTGAGATTATATTGATATGTGAACATAGTTTTAGTGGTCCCCACGGGTGGGCGATAGTGAAGATCATAAAATTACCCTGGCATTCAGTAAGCGGTCTCTAGTCACTAATAGTTACTTTTGGTGGTGAACTTGGATTTTGAGACTATTTGGTACTCAGTACGCTGTCTCAAGTCTCTAGTCTCAAAAATAAGTCACTAATTTGTCAGCTGGCTAAGAGCCGGTCACAAAAATAGAAGTATGGAGGAAAAGCTTATTTCTTTCCATTCTATTAAAAAAAAAAACGCGAAAATGAAGCGAGGAAATTAGTTCAACAACAATTTCATTAGGAAGTAAACCAAAATGTTTTAATTTCATACAAATGTATTGAAAAAAAATTAATTTTTTTGTTTTTAAAACATTAAAATCTAAAGATTGTTAAAAAAAAAATAAAACTAACAAAAAAAAAAATAAAAAAAATCCTCTACGGCCGAGAAGGACTTGAACCCGGACCCTCTCGGCTGCCAGCCTAATGCTTTGACCACTCGCCATTGCGACTCTTCGGGCAGCGCGGCAAAAGGCATACGTAAACGCTATCAGTTCACTGTCAGTGTTTGTTTTCACCACACATTTTTGGTGAACTTTTTGTGACTCTCCCCTTCTGAATACCCAAATCGTCTCAAGTCACAAAAATAGTCACTAATTGCTAATCTCAAATTTAGTGACTTGAGATGAGACTGAATTACTGAATCCCAGGGTTAATCAATGTATGCAGGGAGATCGGCATATTGAATATATACATTATATAAATTTTTCTTAACCTATGTTTTGTAACTAAATTTATATAAGAGTGTTTATATGGATACGTTTGCCTTGCACATTCAAGAGAGACGATCTAGTCATATGTAGTGGGAGAAGTTTAGGCTCAATGTGGCCATCACTCCCTATCGCCGAAAATGCTGTTGAACTCTCTGAGGGATTTGGGTTTCCAGGAATTGTTGTGATGAGTAGAGGACACCATAGGTCTCGGTGTAAAACTCACTTTGTTATATATTTATCTATCTTTATGGCGTACCGAATGAATTTGGTATCCCTGCGAAACTACTTAATACGTCTTTTTCAATTGCCTGCCGATCCCAAGTCACCGTACTTATTTTTACGAAAGTTCTTCCCGATCTTTAAACCTTCCGTAAGGAGCCCGAAATCTCTGGAAAATTTCTCGGACGTTCTTCCTCTGGGCCAGCAT